CCAAATGCTAAAGGCCTGCCAACCTTGTGTCGGACATTTCTGGCGGATGGGAAATTCTGATGTCGACACAAACAGACTCTGACAAAGTTGGCTGCTGGCGTAGAGCAGGCAAGAAGACAACACAACCACGTTCTAATGGGCCTCCTTTCATCCACTGGCTCAGTTCAGCCCTGGAGATGAGGAGCAAAGGAGTCCTGGCAGGCGACTGGGAGCCGGTGGTGATAATCCTAATCGTATCCTAATGGATATCTAAGTGTATTCAGTGTATTGGATCTCACCTCAGATCCTGTAGCCTTCTCCATGTTGTTCAAGCTGCTGAACCTCGGCTCTGGAGATCAGATTCAGGTTCTTTATTTGTACCCGTAGGGTGGATTTTGTTTGCAGAGAAAAAGACAAGGGACCCATCCTGACACACTCTAACGCAGCATCCACACGGCGCATGTGTTGAAGCTTGCCGGTGGGCGTGTCTGAAACTCGACCAACCAATCACCTGAATCTCCTGCCCCGGACACACAAGCACGCGGTTTGATTGGCTAGAGCTTGTAATGGCATATGATTTGATTGACTGACGCTTCCGTCGAAGCTTCAAAAGTTGAACATTGCTCAACTTTTGAAGCGAGCAACGCGAGCAAAGCGACCACAATGGAGTTCGGCAAAGCGTGACGTCAGCCCATTCAAAGTGAATGGGCAGAAACGTTGAAGCTTCAACGCACGCCGCCGTGTGGACGGGCCGTAAAAACAAACACAAACAACTGACACATCTCTAATAAAAGGACTTGTAAAAAGTACAAGTAAACCCTGCTTGTACATCCGTCAAATATCAAAATATTTCAAAAAAGATTAAGAAGGAAAACAGTACAAACATGGACATTCAAAATGCATAATTAAATAAATAGGCATCTGTGTGACTCTCCTATGATGTGTTATGTGTTATTTGCGCACTTATTGTAAGTCGCTTTGGATAAAAGCGTCAGCTAAATGCAATAGCTGCTGGGATAAAACTGTTTTTATACCGCTTCGTTCTACTCCTTGGGACAAGTAACCTCCGGCCCGAAGGAAGAAGCTTAAATTCTGAGTGCAGAGGGTGGGAGTCATCGTCTAATATGGAGCTGGATAACCGCTGTAACTGCATGAGGTACAGGGTCTCCAGGTTTAGCTGTGGCTCACCAATCAGTCTGCTGGACCACTTTACGATCTAACTCAGAGAGTTTCTGCTCTTTAAAGTCAGGTTACCAAACCATGACATTAATGAAAAAGACAGAATTGTCTCGATAAAAGCACGATAAAACATCATTATGGTTTTGTCAATGTTAAAATAGGACAGTTTCCTAAGACAGTACAAATGCTGGTGCCCCCTTTTGCACACAGCTTCACAGTGTGAAGGGCAGTTCTGCTAGAAATGCACCTAGGTAAAATAAATAAGGTACAATAAATCAATAAAATAGATAAGGTAAATTGAATAAATCGTAAGGTAAAATAAATAAGGGGAAATAGATCATATTTAATAAGGTTAGATAATATTTAATAAGGCGAAATAAATCAAATTAAATAAATAAGGCAAAATAAATAATATTAATGTGAAATAAATATGGTGCAATAATTAAGGTGAAATTAATTAAATGATATAAAGGAGACATATTTAAAATAATAATGTAAAGAGTTCACAAACTGTTGAAAAAAGGCATTAAAGTGTTGCTGTAAAAAGCATTGTGTACTGACGGCAGGTCAGAGAAGTTTCCAGAAAGATGAGTCACTGAACAAACAGGAGGGGTCTCTCTGTTGCACAACCGAGAGCTGAAACAAAGGGGAACAAACTCAGGCCTTTATGAACATAAATCATCCTGCTCTGAGGTCAAACTGATCCGCCACACTTTAACGAGATAAAAGATTCAAAGTGTGAACGGCTCTCAGAATCTCCACTCTATTGAACTAAAAGGTTTTTTTGATAGATGGAACGGTTCTAAAATCACAGTTTAAGTTTGGGACATTTCAGAGCGTTTCAGATTTATTACAATAGGACAGAATGTTCAGATCTAGAGTTGATGACGTCTTCACTTAAAGGTGGGGTAGGTAAGTTTGAGAAACCGGCTCGAGATACACCTTTTGTTATATTCCATGGAATGCTCTTAACATCCCGATAGCAATGAATATCTGAAGTGCTTTGACAATAAATCCATAAAAAAAGTCATCAGTGGAAGCCGTGGCGCTGTAAAAAGCACGACCAATCATCTGAGCCGGCTAAAGTAACTGGATGGCCTACCTGCCGGTCAGCCTTCCATCTGTGCCAAGCGGCAAACTCTGGGGAACAGCCGGGACGCCAATACGGAAGTGCCACACACTGCAGTTCATACATGGGCCGCTAGGGACTGGCTGCAGAAAGGAGCAATTTCCATAGACCCCCATGTTAAAATGCCCAACTTTACAGCAGAAAAAAACATGTTTCTACCCATGGATGCAATACATATTATTATCGATATAGTTAGATTCCACCTTCATGATTATGAATCTGTGAGTGAATTGTTTTCTAACACGACCCTTTTATTTATATTAGGTCTTAACGTTTTTGCATAAATTAGGGCGTGGTCACGTTGATGGACACGTACATGCCTCACTGTCAGCTAACAGCAACTTGTCCACTCTGCTAGGCTACAACCATAGAGGCTACAACGTTAGTTAGTCATAGTACTGTACTTGACCCTTTAGCTTTAGCCGTGTTCGTGGTGATTGTGCCTTTTCGGGAATATTGTTACAAATACCAGACAATTAAAATGTCGTGCTGTGCGCTTGAATGTACTAACAGAACTTCCAAGAAGTCTAAAATGATAATATTATACATGTTAACCCCGTTCGCAGGTGTTTTTGTGCTTGGTAGCTTAGCTTGTTACTTATTAGCCAGCTAAGGACGTAACCCTTTATGCATACATATACATTTTAGTTTATGATTCAGCCTTGGGTAAGACTTTTATAGTCTATGGCTATGACGCCCATAATGCTAAACGGGAGCAAATGTTAATAGGGGACCCAATTATCCCAGTAGTGGCCGCCGGAGCTAACGGAGCCGCAGGGGGCTAGCTCCAGCCGGCGTCCCGGAGCTAGCCCACTGCGGCTTCGTTAGGTCCGGGCGGTGGAGTCCGTCTTTTCTCAACGTGTGAATGACAAGCATTAAGAATAACAAAATATAGCTAATTCTCTTGCAGATTGTCTCATTTGATTATGAATGTACGTTTATATAGGGGAACTACACTGTTAGCAGTAACTTGGTATGCATGTATTTCATGTTAGCTTAGCTTCTTAGCCTGAGCTAGCTCTGTTTACTTCCAGTTCGGAGGCAGCAGGTCCCACCTCGGCTCCGCCTCTTTGCCCTTATTTGGAGCAGGCGGGATTAGACTCTGACGTCACAGTCGAGCCGTTAGTGGCCGACTCCGCCTACTAAGGGCTTCACGGCAACTCTGCAGAATCCTATGGGTGACGTCACGGACACTACGTCCATTTATATATACAGTCTATGATCTGTGCACAAATTTATCTCGTGCCCTCATTGGTCATGTGCACGTTCGTGTGTGTTGGAGGAGGGGCTCTGTGAGGAAGTGGCAGATTTTCTCCGGCTGTGTATTTTCAAATTCTAGCGCACTCGAGCTGGTTTCTCCATTCTTACCTACCCCACCTTAACAGTGTAGAGCAGGGGTGCCCAACCAGTCGATCGCGATCGACCGGTCGATCGCGGGGAGATTCCCAGTCGATCGCGAGATGTGTCTAAAAATGTAATAACAATATTCTGTTTTATCGTTAATGTCCTATAACATAATCTTCCCGTGCCAGAATAATGCACTTGAACGCACCAAAGCGTTGTGATTGGCCAGCGTGATCCCATGTGTGGGGGCGTGGCTGGTGGGCAGTGGGCACTATTTTGCTGACGTTGTCCGTGGCAACAGGAGTGACAGTCCGCACACACACAAGACCGCAATTATGGCAGAAGCAAAAAAGCCCAAAATATATAATTTTCACTCCGAGTGGGAGGATGATTATTTTTGTATCTATTCCAATTCAAAGTCCATCTGTCTCATCTGCAATGTGAGCGTGGCTTTATCGAAGAAGGGTAATTTAGGAGCGGCATTTCAAAGCAGTGCACAAACGCTACGAGACGGAATTCCCTCCTGATTCTGCCCTACGCTCCAAAAGGGGAGGGGCCTGAAAGGACAGCTAAATGCACAGCAGTCCATTTTCACCAGGCCCAACAACAAGAGCAAGGCTGCTACCATAGCATCTTATCGTGTCCGTCACGTTCTTGAGAAACACATGAAGTCTTTCGAAGACGGCGAAGTTGTGTAAGAAGCATTCCTGGAGGCTGCCGACGCGCTTTTTGGGGACAGTAAAAATAACAGAAGCATTTCAACAGGTTTTTGATATAATAAAAACTCAAGTTAGATACCGTTATTAATCAGCTGTAAGTTTGAGTTTGTTTGAACTTATTCATTATAATTATTGTACAAAAGGGTATAAGAATGCAAACTTAAATTGATTATAGTCTATTATGAATTCAGGTTAAGAAGCTAGTGTTGCTTGCTTCCTATTTTAAAGGGATTTCTTTTTATAATCTACTAAAATGCAACAAAAAAGGGTTTGATTCTATTAATGTTGTCTTTTTTATCGCACGTTGGCAGCAGATTCCTGTGCAGCTTCAGATCTGAGTTGTCTTATTAGTAAGCCTCATTTATACTTTTGTAGCAACACTATTTTATATAATGGCAAAGAAAGAGTTCAGAGTCTTTTCTTTGTTCCTGAGTCATATGTGGCAGCACTGTTCAATGCTTCTTAAACATGACCCACTGTAGTGACGTGTGAATAAACTCCAACTCTGTATCAACAACACTGTTGTGTAACTTCAGTTAAATACTTGTATGTGTGTAGATTAGAAAGAGGTAAGATAAAGGATCTGCAGTATTTTATGGAGTATTAATCGCACAAAGGTCAGTTTTATACAAGTAGAAGTGTGTATTCACCTGGTAGTAGGCTGTCAGTAATGGCTCTCTATTTGGACTGGTAGATCTCGGCAGACTGGCAACTTTAAAAGTAGCTCTCGGTTCAAAAAAGGTTGGGCACCCCTGGTTTAGATGATTCAAATAGAAAGAAGAACACATGAATAAATAAAAAGACATTGGTAAAATTGTTGGGCTTTTTTACTTTGGCAAAATGTAATTCTTTTGTATTGGAACATTTGTGGATGATTTATTTCTTATGACCCTGCTGCTGATTCCTGATTGGCCCAGCTGTTGTCTTCTGATTGGCCCAGCTGTTATCTTGAAAGATGCAGCATGTTAGCCCCTCTCTTATCTCTCCTGCTCCTACCTAATGCATCTGGCGATGATCTGAAATCATCCGGTGTTTGAATAAGACTTCTGTACTATTGTAAATACACTGTTTGTTAATAATCTAAGT